AACTATCGCACTTATCATATCTTGCTCAGTAATTTCAATATGTAGATCTTTTTCCCACTTGATCTTAGATTTCCAGACATAGGGCTTCTGAGAGTCCTTTAAGAACTCATAACATCTAGTAATATGGCCTTTAATTCTATGAGTTTACAGAATCTTTTTAAGATTACTTGAGTTTTTATTGACCTGGAAATCCAAGAATTTCGCCAAATAAAACTTGATTCTTAAATATGTAAATATCTCCTTGTAATCAATCCCGAACTCTATTTGTAGCTGGCTTCCATTCTGTGACCATCCGCTGATATTAATATCCTCAATATTCCCCTTAATCACCTCTATGGGTAAGAATGGAAACAGTCTGTATTCTTGTTACCACTCCCCCGGTAGGAGAGGGGTTACAGCCGTATAGGACGTTCCCTTACCGAACGTAGAGGTAGCCACTGAGCACTCCAAACTACTGAACAGTTGCCGTACGGATCAATTCGTTTCCCAAACAGCCGAACAGCAATCACTCAAATCAAGTATTCTCCCAAACAGCCGAACAGCAATCATACAAATCAAATATTCTCCTAAACAGCCGAACAAGCGTACTCCATATGAATAATCCCCCAATGACGAGAAAAAGCTCCGTATTGAGGGTCAGCAGGAATCTGGTTTAATGAGGGCTACATGCCCGGCTTTTATGCAAGTCTCCCATCTGGTTGTCACTCCCCTAGGGGACCAAATGGGGGACTGTGACAAGGATATTGTAGCAACCAATCACAGGGTACACACTTAGCCATTCCCCTTTTCTTACCCAGAACCCTCTGCTCTGCTCAGGGAGATAATTGTGAAGTAATTCAATTATCTCCCAGGACAGAGCCTAAACGCCATTTTAGATGAAAATAACAAAAAGGCATGAAAATACATAACTGGTACATTTTATAACATTTTACAGGCATTCAACAGGTCCCCAGATAGCTAGGATCTGAGCGCACCAAAGTACCCAATAGCGTTTAGATCCTATTCACACAGTCCAATCGCTGTGGAGCCAAAGTGTTCACAAAGTCAGTTTTCATACGAATGGGCTCCATGGGATGCCTATCTGGGGGTATGGTGTATTCGTGGA